GATGATCTTTTCTGCATACAGAATACATCCACAGAATCCTTCTTCCTATGTACTTACAATTGATTCCTATGATATTTTGGATAAGTATTCATACTTACTTCAGGGTCAGCTGTGAGTCAGTTCTAACTCTATGGTACATAACAACAACAGGGAAGATAGTGAGGTTTCATCTTACATACTCTGAACGTCTTACCAGGAGGACCCAGTCTCCTTAGACTAAGGAAATAATGCTTAGTAAAGTAGAGAGTCAGTGAAAAGAGAGAGAGACCCTCAATAACATGGATTAGCATAGTGGCTGCAACAGTGAGGTCAAACAGCAGGGGTTGTCAGAATGGTGCAGGACAGAGTAGGGCTTCTATCTATTATATACGGGATCATTAGCCAGAACTAATTCAAAGAAAACACAGTGAGGGGTATGGGGCTTCAGTAGCCCTGACCACAGCAGTATCAACAGCTAACAAACTCATAAAATGGTGAGCTATTAAAAAACTTAAAAATCTGCACACCCATGTTTATTGCGGCTTTGCTCACAATAGCAAAGAGCTAGAAACAACCCAAGTGCCCATCAACAAATGAATGGATAGGGAAGCTCTGGTATATTCACACAATGGAATATTATGCAGCACTGAAAACAAGGAACTCATGAAATACTATGCTAAGTGGATGACCCTAGAGGACATTATGCTGAGTGAAATATCTCAGTCACAAAAGGACAGATATTGCATAGGGCCACTATTGTAAAAGAGGACTGACATTGGGGTTGAGGGAAGACAGAGAAGAAGGGGAGGAATGATGTATACTGCATTGCAACAGATGAGGGAGAGAACTGTTTAAAAGGGATGTATGATTAGGTATTATTGTCATGCCAGGAGTCCAGAATGAAGGCTGCACAGCACAGTAGATTTTGGGGGAGGGATTGCATAGCAATGAAAGTTTTCCTTTTACTCATCAAGGAAAAAAGTGAATTGGGGAGTTGGGGGACAGGGAGAAAAGTGCAACAATGAATGACTGGAAACCCTAAGTCTCTATAAACTTTCATTAAAATTAATAAAAAGAAACCCACAATAAAACTTAAAAATCAAACTCAAGAATAGCTTATTATAGCCTGGAAACACGCATTCCTGCAAACACTTAAAGTCCCTGAAAACACTACTGTGTACTAAGTAAGGCTCATTCTTAAGGACCCTGTCCATCTGAAAATTGCCAACCTAGGAACCTAGTTCTGAAATCTGCTTGGATAAGTCCTCCCTTTGGTGCTTACAACTGGATGGCCTTGGGCAACATACTTAACCCTATGTGTAAAAGCAGAACAATAATATTCTTTCCTTACAGCATTGTTGTGAGGATTAAATGAAATTCAGGGTGGCATTCCTTATATGGGATAGGTAGATGTTAGCTGTGGTTATTAATTTTCATACTGTGACTAATGATTAGGTGGAACACCCTATTCTTTGGTTACAAATGAGGCGTTACCTTTAAAAGCAAAATGATGGCTTCCTAGCTAGGGCCTTTCAAATGCATGCAGTGCAGTAAGATCACTGCCATTGGAATGGCCATGAAAAACACACCTCTACTTTGAAACACATGGAGTCACTGTGACCTGGAGTCACCGTGACCTGGAGTCAACTCAAGGAGTCAAGGAAGCTAGTTCAAGATCTACTTTTATTACTTGGAGGTGATAGGAACTTTCCATTCAGACTCAAATAAGAATATAAAATTAATTATACAAAATCAGCCAAGGAACAAGGCATAATTATCAAGAAAAGGAGCAAATAATGACTTGTTCACCTTTGGGTTGAACATCATCCTAATAACAAGAGTAGCCATAGATGTTTCCACCCACATCTTCCCCTGTTCTTTTTCCCTCGAGTCATTGAGGGTCTGTGTCCCAGAGAGGAACAAAAACGGAAGTAAATGAATTGTCTCCATTTCTTTCTTTCCTGGGTGTTTTATAGATGGCTGATATATGAAGATCCTGGATTTCAGGGTATCCCTTTCATCCTTGAACCTGGTGAATACCCTGATTTATCCTTCTGGGACACAGAAGAAGCCTACATTGGATCCATGCGGCCTCTGAAAATGGTAACAAGGAAGCAGGACAATGTGTCCCTGGATTACTTGCTACCTTGATATTGATAATTCACAGGACATGACTTTGAAACAAAAAAGCTGACTTATCTTAGGTCCCATTAGGGTGGGACTATGACTGGACAGAATCAATAGAAAGAATAACTTGTCACAGATCAAAAGGTAGATAAGACAGTGTCCTTTACCCCCAAGGCATTCTCCACTTTATGGAGAAAGAGCTGTGTGCACAAAGCTTCAGCTATGGTAGGTGTAGCAAGTGACGGCGGTGAAGAATTAAGCATTTATGGGAGGAAAAAACCAAGAAGAACGAGAACTAAGTTTCAACTTGTAGGTAATGCAACAGAGAAGGAATAATTAGGAGAGCTTCATAATAAGTTCTGTTGACTCACCTAAAAAAAGTGAGTGAATTACTTCAGCTGGAGACATCAGAGGATGCACTGCATGAGCAGGGACTCCCGTGAAACCAGGTGTCAGAGATTCACGACTCCCTGTGCGCAGGGCAGAACGTACAGCATGTGCTTGTCAGGGGCTGATTTTCGCTACATTCAGGCCAACGCTTTCTTTTTTTCCCCGCCTAAGACTTTCTTTCTTTTGAGGCATCTACCTCTGTGTGTTGGAAGCAGGGTCGGCATCCACTTCCTAAACAACATGCCTCTGGAAACTCTATGAACTTTGATAAATGTTGATAGTTATAGAAAGGCTTCAGGCCTTTAGTTCATAGGGTTGCTATGAGTCATGCTCAACTCGAAGGCAATCAACAACAACAACAACCTCTGTGTGAGTTCAAACCTCCAACTTTTTGGTTGTTGTTGTTATGTGCTGTCGAGTCACTTGCGACTCATAGCGACCCTATGTACAACAGCCCTAAACTCTGTTCTGTCCTGTGCCAATCACACTGTCTCCAACACACCCATCCCGATTACCCCAGTCAGTAGCAGTTGAATGTATTAACTATACCTCTCGGGGCATAGAGTAGGGAAAGAGCAGTGCATGAGACTGAACCTGTTCATCATGACCACGCTAGACTAGGTGGCAGTTCGGGGGCTACAAATGAATGTTGTCCTGCTGAGTATCAGTTCAAGAGAGGGGCCTTGTGCGTCCTCTGTCTTATCATTAAATGTGACTTTGCTCTTTTCCTGCCTCTCCTGAGACTATAAGCTTCAGGAGGGCCCCGTTTGCCTCTGCCTTGCTCCCCTGGTCTGCACTGCATCACAGTGGTTGTTCACCCCACACTCACTACATGAGTGGAGCTCCTGCTACGAACACATTTTTGTAAACTACATAGTTATCTTTGGAGTCAATTGGAGGCAAATCAGTTTGGAAATTTTTGTCTTAATTTTACCCTTTAGGCCAAAGCTTTTGGTTTAATTACCAATGAGTTTAGTGGTATTGATGCAAAAAAAAGTTTGTTTTTTTTTAAAAATTTTTTTTAAGATTAAATTTCAGATCATTTTGCCAGCATTTTGAATGTATTAAAGAAGTGCCCTAGGTTTTGGAAGCAGTTTTTAATGATTTATAAAACTATTAAGCTTATGACAAGGAAAAAGATTACTTTCGCAAGAGCATGTGCTTGCTTGTATAAGCACTGGAAATTCAGCCACATTTCTTTACAATTAGTTTATTCAGTGCATTTGAGCACCTTTTGGCTCTATTTTGTTTAAGAGCTACTAAGGATAAATTGAAAGACAGAGATTGTGAAAATAGGGCAGGACAGCAAGGTACTACTCTATCCTTCAGTGGAGTTCTGTGAGCTGTCATTAACTCAAGAACCTAACAAGAACAACAAAGATCTATTGATGAAATAGATCTTTCTGACTATCCAACTGATCATTTTAGTTCTTAGCTTGATATTTTTCACACAATTCCTTTGTCTTTGGTTATGTTCAGTGAGTTTGGGGGAGGAGAAGATTTAAACATATTTTTTTATGATTTAAGTATATAACAACACCCCATCCTTTGAGATGTTTCAGATTTTCTCAGTTAGTTTACCAATTATTTCAACCCTCCTCAAGATCTGACTGTGAACTTGTGTAAACTTTAACAAGTTTGTAGTCTGTTGATTACAAAATCAAATGCCTCCAGGATCCAGCAGAAAATGCCAGTGAGTAAACTGCTTGGGAGTTCAGCTGAGGGAGTGGTGAAGGGGCAGACTAGGACCTGTGACCGCTTAGGGACACAGCCTTCTGTAGGTGCAGAAAGTGGTGTTGACTGCTTGTGAGAACCTGAGCCCACTGACGTCAAATCTTAGGACTGCTTTCCCAAAGGAACCAGAAATAAGTATTTTCATGAGAAATTTTCTGAGTTGAAAAAAAGAAAAACCAGTGGGTCAAAGGACTCACAGACCAATGGCGTGTGTGGCTCGCTCTCGACCGTCTTCCTGATGTCTTCATCTGCCCTGTTGAAATGTTAAAATCCTCTCACAATAATTAAAACAAACTGGAACTTCTGGATTTAATTACACGCTGAGGTTCAACGGCTTACCACCAATTGCTGTGGGTAATACAAAGCGGTGTTATATCAATGAAAATCCATTTTTCTTACAGTGTTCTTTTAACTCTTTAGGGTGGCCGTAAAGTTGAATTCCCTACAGATCCGAAGGTAAAAGGAAAAAAAAAGTATTTTCTGTTTCATTCTCACTCTATTTCTGGGACTGTAATACTAGTGTTGCTTCAGATATAAGCCTCCCCCAAACAGAACTGCAGCCAAAAAGTTGCTACAGCTTGCACATGCCATCATCCAGGCAGCAGCTCTCACCAGCAGCCGTGGCTGAAATGCTCAGTGCCGTGTAACTTCCAACATTGTGGTTGTATCTAGTAACTATTGAGTCTGCTGCTGTTTGTGCTTAGGAAGGATATTTCCCCCCCTTTTCTAGACAAGCTTAGCTCCTACTTAAAAATGCTGTTTCTGCAATCCCTATGGCTCATGTTCGTACCACGTACTTTGATGTTATGGTTCATTTAGTATTCAAAAGCAACTTTAGAACACTTTTTAGTTTCTTAGTTTTGCTTAAATCCTAAATATCAGTTTTCTAGACAGAGAACAAAGCCCAATTCTTTTGCAGCTTACCTTTTGAACATTGGCTTTGGGCTATACCACAACAGGGAAAAGAGAGATTGATATTTAGAGAGTATAAGCTTTTTCTAGTTAATGTTTAAAAATCTGATTAGAACATTTTAATTTATGGTCTAGGCTTGGTGGCATTAAATGACCAGTTTAATTTGCTTTGCATAAACTTCTGGTGTATCTCATTTCCATTACAGGTTGTTATCTATGAAAAGCCTTTCTTTGAAGGAAAATGTATGGAACTAGAAACAGAACTATGCAGCATTGTTACAGAAGGTGAAAAAGAAGAAACAGCTGTGGAGGATGGCTTGCCACTCATGACAGTGGGGTCTATGAAAGTTCTCAGAGGCATGTAAGTAGATGGAGGTAACCACACTGTGAGGGGTAAGAGTTATATCCATGTTCTTCTCAGCTCTTTGGGATCAGAATTTGAGGGGCTAGTTTGGGCTAACAAGGCCAATGATAAATGGGCCCATCAAAATTGTTTATTATTAAGTAGCAACTTGCTTTTTAAAGTTATGATGATCTCATTTTTCTATTTAATGGATCATATGCATTTCCTTTATAAACAGACACTGAAGTTGGCCTTGTATGAAATAGGCAAAAATTCATCCTATTTCATTACTATTTGAAGAAGATATATCCATTTTACCTTCTGAAGTTCTTTTCATTTAGTTCTTACTAAATGTACCTAACCACACACCCATTCATGTACAGAAATTATAAATGTTTCTTAGTTGGTTCCCCCCCCCCAGGCTTTGGGTTATTATCATGTTTTAGGGAGGAGTTGTGATCATAATGCTTTAATCTATGTCTGACTATAACTATTTATATTTGTTAATGAAACTAATGTATATGTGGGGGGAGATGAACCCTATTGAAAGCACCTACTTCTTCATGCTATTTCATTGCAGCTGGGTTGCCTATGAGAAACCTGGATTTACAGGTCATCAGTATTTGCTGGAAGAAGGCGAATATAAGGATTGGAAGGACTGGGGAGGTTACAATGGAGAACTTCAGTCTTTACGACCTATACTAGGTGTAAGTTAAAGAAAAGTGTTTGGCTTAATACTTGGGCTTTGTTGTTATTTGTTTTAATAATAAGCGGCAAACCTTTGATTAACATTTTTTTTTCTCACTAGGATTTTTCAAATGCTCACATGATAATGTACAGTGAAAAAAACTTTAGCTCTAAAGGGTCCAGTATTGATGTATTGGGAATTGTTGCCAACTTAAAGGAGACTGGATATGGAGTGAAGACACAGTCCATTAACGTACTGAGTGGAGTGTAAGTGGAATACCATAAACTGGATTTCAACCAGGAGTTTTATCTTGATTTATGTTAATCTAATAGAGTTATTGTTGTTATGTGCTATTGAGTCACCTGCAACTCATAGTGACCTACAACAGCCCTAAACCCTAATCTATCTAGTGCCAATCTTATTGCCTCTGACACACCTACTTCCATTACCCCAATCACTAAATCAATCCATCTCATTGAGGGTCTAATAGAGTAGCTTATGCAAAATAGTCATTCAATAACAACTATCTCTATAGTTACAGAATAAAACAGACACTTGATATCTATGGACATGTTTTTACAAGTGCTTTTAAAAATCATTTTCATATAATCTTTTTAAAAGTCTCTAAGTTTGGGTGCCTATGTCTGAACCAGACACTTTAGTCAGGGGGATGATCATGCCTGGGTTATAGGCCTATCCCTGGACTGAGCTAAGAGTTCAGCCCCCTAGGAACCCTGTGGATATGTCCGGTGCTAGAGGGTCCCCAGGATTATCAGAAGGGGTGGAGATAGATACCTGAGGGAGGACTGTTACAGAGCTACATTATTCTTTTTCTTTTATCTAAACTAATATTTGAACTAATTTTTTATTCATGAGAATATTCTAGGTGGTTAAATTAAATCACTTTTATATTGGTGCTGTTGAGAACGTGTGATGTTAGGTTTTCAATGTCATATGTTTATTAGAGTTTATTTGGATCATCCAGCCTAAAGTAGGTGGTATTTTGTGTGGTCTCCCAAGGGAATCCTGCTATTTGAAGGAGACCTACAATATACTGTGTTTGCCGTGATCACTAACTTTTTGTGTAAGACATTGTATGTGGTGCCGTCTTGGCAGAATGACACCATGCTGACTAGAAAATGTCTCTCTACTTGGTTCTGTTATGGAGTCCGAGCAGCTACTCACAAAAATTATGCTATGGCAGAAGCTTCTAAATTGTGGTTGTGTGTCTACATTATTGTATATAGCCTTAAAAGTTATTTGGGAACAAACAGTAACCAGCTCAGTCAAGGGAAACAAACAGCTGTACAATTTGAAACTTACCACATGTTCTGGTGCCATTAGTCAGAGCCCAGTCATCCATGCTAGGAAAGGAAGTATAAGGTACTAGGAAGAGTTCCCTTTGACTAGGTATGCAGGTTATACTGACAGAAAAGCTAGAATTCTTTGGCTCTGACCCCAAATCAAACTTATTTCCCTTTTACCTACCAATTGCAGACTTAAAATCTGTTTCCTTTATAAAAACATTTCTGTGCTTCTATTTTTAGTTGCATTTCAGCCTTAGGTGGTTTTCTGGGTGTAGCAGTTGTTGCTGGTGTTGTTGAGGGAAGGAAGTTGAAAGGAGGCATGTGGGCGTACACGCACATACACCACTTCCTTTTCAAATCTTTATCCGCAGTGGTTGTGGCTTCTGTGTTTATCAGGGCCAGGGGCTCTGGCATACTTCCTTCGGTTGATCATTTGACAAATATTTATTGAGGTCTCTAAGGTGCAAAGTATTATGTTATGTCCTTAAACAAGCTACATTATTTATTTAAAATGAAATTATTGCTACACAGGAGGTAGGATTGAACCCTTTGGGAATCTACAGAAGGGAGAGATTTCTTTCCAGTCTGGAAAAGAGAAATGTTTATAGTGGAACAGGCTTGAAAGACAGGAAAGTTTAAGTGTTCCAAGGTAAGGAAGACTAATGTATCATTTCAAAGAAAAATTATTTTAATCCTATTCTAGTGATTTTCCTCCTGTAGGCAGATAAGCAGTTTTGTTTACTTATTTCTTAGTGTGTAATTTGACATTAGGAAAAACATTTTTAAAATTCTTGTTCTGTGGGAGTCTCCTCCAGCAAGCCCACGGTCACATGGACACTAAACTTCTTACAAAGCAGCCTGGGTGGCTCAGTGCTTAAAGCTGATCCACAGGAGAAAGATGTGGCAGTCGCTTCCTCAAAGGTTGACAGCTTTGGCAAAGCCCATGAAGCAGTGCTAGTTTATCCTGTAGGGTTGCTGTGCATCAGAAGCGGCTCACCAGCAGTGGGTACAGGTAAAATGATTACGAGCTGTGAAGCAGAAACCAACCTAAGGCAGATGCTCATGAGTGGAACCACTGAGGTGTGAGGAACCACATTCCATTTCTTATTGGAACATCAAAGGAAATTCCTTCACACAGCCCTAGTCACCATTTGTTTTCTAGTTTCATGCTGTACTCTAGCTCAAATAGCAGAAACTGGGATTCTCCCCAGTCACCCCCAAAAAACCAGCAAAAAACTAAACGTAGTAAAATATTTTAGAATTCAGATAAAAAAAAAGAAAAAATTAAAAATTCTTACTCTTATCCCCTCCACACAAGAGCCAGTTTGCACTGCTGCCTTTAGCATCTGAGCATTTATGGCACCAGGCTGGGACCTGTTAATGCTTGTATGCCTTCCCCCACAAACAGTCGTATAAGCAAAGAAGTGTTGATTCACATGGGCAGAGTAGATTAGGCAAAGACAAGGGGGAATTTTCTTCTTATGAGTCCTAAAGTAGACTCTAGATCATAGATACACAAGAGAATCTCTGGTCTGGGTTTTGGGTAATAGTCATGGATGAATCATCTAGGACTGTAGCTTAGAAAGAAAAGACTACTACTGTCATTTCAAGTCATATCTTACCCAGTACACTATTTTTTCTGTTTTAGAGAACCAGCCAGGCTACCTGAGTATTTACTTAAAAATAATTTTCTTAGTCTTGTATGGAAATATAGTTCCCACACTTGATAGTTTTTTTTCCCCCCCCAAAAAAAGGAATGAGATGATGCTTTCTCCAGGTTTGTTCAGTTACTGCTCTCTCTCTCTTGTGTATTCAGTCTGTCCCTCCTCACGGGTTTCTCACCCTCCTGGTCAGCATCCTCATATCTCCACTGGGCTTAAGTCCAAGGATCAAACAAAAAGGCCTTTAGCCAAACTCTGCTCTTCTCTAACCGTGTTACAGACCCAGAGTCCTACCAGGGGCTCTTTTTATGGTATTGCTTAGATCTTAATAGACAGATGCCTTTCCCCACAGAGCAGTGCTTCACGTGTGTCTGTATTGCCCTTGCTTCCCTTCATACTCTGTGACAAGCCAAAGGCCGGTTATCAGAGAAAGCACTCCCTCATCCCCTCACATCACAGTCTCATGTGAATGCTGTGATCTTGCCCAACCTCCTTATTCACAAAGGAAACAACATTTCACAAAGAGTCAATGACCTCTTCAAAATCATCTGAAACTCAATGTCAGAGCCACAGATAGAACCAGATCTCATAACTTTTATCTCACAGTGTTTAATGAATAAATAAAAAACCAAAGCCAGTTGCTATGGCCTGGCTTAGCAGTAGAGTTTAACTGTGTTTCTTAGACTTAGATCAACTTTCAGAAGTGGATTGCCAGGCATTTCTTCCAGTGTGCCTCTAGGTAGACTGGAACATGCAACCTTTTGGTTAGCGGCTGACCAGGTTAACCATGTGCGCTCTCGGAGAGCCTGATTTTTAAAATTGCTAGTAAAGATTGGATAGTGAGGGAGGGACACTGTTTTCAGAAAGGGTTATGTCTACTATTTGGAGTCATTTCTCCATTCAGATATTTAGTAGCTACAGATATTACTGTCACAGGCTACTTAACACTTTAGATCTTTGCAGTGTTCTTTGTCATTTCTAGCAATTATAGTCATACTTGAGTATTCATTTTAAAGGAAGCCTTTTTGGTAGAAAAATCATAATCTTTTCTAATTATGGAGTGTCTAGGCTTGTTTAGGTGTGGTTTACTAGAACCATACGTAAAGTTGATATAAATGATTATAGTCAGAGGTGACAAAGAGAATAGAGACTGGGGAGCCTCAGGAGACACAGTTCAGTCATTGATATTGCAAGTAAAATTTTGCTGAAGAGAATGTAAAAATTGCTGGAGTGCACCCTCAGTGAACTACCAGAAATCCAAGCTAAATTCAGAAGATTTGGAATGAACAATATCATTGCTGACATCAAGTGTATAGTGCTGAAAGCAGAGAAGGCTAGAATGATGTTGTCATTGTTGTTGTAATTGTGTACCATCAAGTGAAATAGAACCATAGCTGACCCTCCAGTGGATTTTCAGAGGCCATAAATCGCACAGGAAGACATTGCCCATCTATCTCCCACAGAGCAACTGGTGGATTCAAATGAGTGCTTTTCCATTGATAGCACATGATGATACCTGGGCTTAATTGACTATGCAAAGATATTTAGCTGTATAGATCAGAACAAACTCTGGATGACACTGCAAGAATGCAAATTCAAGAACACTGGATTGTGCTCATGTAGTACCTGCAAGTAGACAAAGGAACAGATGTTTGAACAGAATGGGGTGGGGGGGGGTACTGCCTGGTTTAAAATCAGGAAATGCATGCATCAGGGTTGTATACTTGTACCATTTTTATTCAATTTTTGTAACACTCAAACTCATTAGCACTGAGTCAGCTATAAATTGCACAGGAGGAGATTGCCCGTCTTTCTCCCACTGAGCTGCTGATAGACTGGAACAGCCAGAGCGACACAGCATTTAGGTTAGCTGTGAGTTCTCTTGGACTTTGCCACCATAATTCTCAATTTGGATGCCATCTTGGGGACTAAAATGTGTCCAGTCCAAGCCGTGGAGACTGAAGGAGGATTAATGCCTTTGAATTATTGTATTGGCAAAGAATATTGACTATTACAGACTACTAGAAGAAGAAACAAATCTATCTTGGAAGAATGTGGCAGGAGTGTTCTTTAAAAGTCAGGAGGGTGGGAATTCTTCTATTTTGGATATGGTTTTAAGAGGGACCTTATCGAAATGTCCAGGGAGAAGGACATAATACTTGGTTAATGAAAAATCTCTGTGAAATGGACTGACAACAGTGGTTGCAGTAGTGATCTCAAAAAATAACAAAAATTGTGAGGATACTGTAGGACCAGACATTGTTTTGTTCCATTGTACCCAGGATTGTTATGAGGTGGAAACGACTTAACAGCACCTAACAAGAACATAGATTCATAGGTATTATTCTAGCTATGAATTATCTGAGGAGGTAAGAAGTAGGAGCTCTGGGTTGCACAGTGGTAACAAGCACTTGACTGCTAATCAAATGATTGTCAGTTTGAACCCGTCATCTGCTCCATGGGAGAAACATGTAGTTGTCTGCTTCTATAAAGATCTGCAGTGCTGGAAACCCTTTGGGGTAGTTTTATTCTGCTTTACCTGGCTGGTATGAGTTACAATTGACTCAAACAGTAGTGGGTTAGATACTAAGTAATATGATAGAAATGAAATTATTTTTATTTCTTACTCCAAAGACTATTTTTGAATAGAAAATAGAATCTATAGACTGATTCCTTTGGGGTTTTCCCTGTTCTGCTTTTAAGTCACGTAAAGAATAAAGGAAAGCATTCCAAAAGATATTTGTTTTTTACTGCTTCTGTTACATTTTTCAATTGTATAATTTTGAACCATCTGTTTGAAACAAGGTTTTAGTCACTTAGATGCAACTTTTTTTCCAATGTGCTTTGCTATTTAATAAACACTGTTTCTTGTAAACTTTCTCTGCTAGATTATTTTAATGCTAGTAATGAAAAGAATTGCTGTTAATAGATTACTAAAGCAAATTGGTCTTGAGAGAGTAATAGCAAACCAGAAAAATTAGTAAAGCTTGTTAGAAAAATAAGGAAAAAATTTTATTTATGATAAATGCTTACCAAAGTATATTCAATAACTTTATTTTACATGCAAAATATGAATCTTAACAAGTGATTATTTTTATTTCTTTAGATGGGTGGCATATGAAAATCCAGATTTCACTGGAGAACAGTATATACTGGATAAAGGCTTTTATACCACTTTTGAGGACTGGGGAGGCAAAAATTGTAAGATCTCTTCTCTTCAGCCTATCTGTTTGGTAAGAAGTTATTTTGTTTTACCTGACAATCTTTAACTGAATTGTGGATTGCCTTAATAGAATACTTCTAATTATGTAACTCCTAGTGATTACTATGGAAATATTTTTAACTTATGCTTAACAGTAATTGCTCTTTTTTTGGAAGAAGAGAGTTGTTCAAAATTCTACCCTACTCATTTCCTTTTCTCTTCTTTTTAAAAAATCATTAGGATTCTTTCACTGGCACAAGGAGCCAAAATCAGGTAACTTTAAAAATATTCTGCTATAATTATGGAACTTACATTTGAAAGCCAAATTTATATAGAAACCATCAGATTTTTGTGATATTTTTTAGTTTTACCTACTTTAGTGCATGAAAGCATAATTACATTTTTAAAAATTGAGGTCAGATTTGCTTTAAACTGAATTATCAGCACTCTGGCGTATGTCTAAATTGTTATTGTTGCTATTTAGCTCCATTCCATGTCTAAACATTTCCTATATTAATATATAAAAGTGAACTTCCTATCATCACATGGAGTCAGTTTACATTAAGGTACTAAGATAAGCATTTCACATAATAGCATATAGTCATTATGATAAATAGAACGATAAATTTCCATATTTGCTGTGTCTGCATTAGACATACATTTTTACAGTCTTGGAAGCCTTTTGAGTGGTGACTCCCTGTATCACCTGAAGTGTTATAGATATTATTTAAACTTTTTAATGGTGGTGGTCACACAGCCTTAATTATAGAGGCACAAACTCCATGCTAGCCTCTTTTATTGGCAAATATGTCTACAGCCAGTGAAGATTCTAATAAGTCAGCAAATATCTTCCATTGAAAAGGAAGAATACCATACTACATGTTTGCAAAAATAGAGCTTATTATCCGTGAGGAATAATTCCTTTTGGTCACAACAAAGTTTTAAAGTGCTCACCCACATTCTATAGAAAACTCTGCTTTCTATTATTGAGTTGTCGTTTGATGTCTCTGGATTAAATAGGCATGAATAGTGTAGCCAAGGTGTTTCTAGTTGGCCAATTAGTGTAAAAATAGAAAATCAGGGTGGGGGTAAGACTGAGAAAAACTGGATAAATTGTGACTACTGCACTGAAACAGATGAGGGACTGAATAATTTAAAAGCAATGTATAATAGGGTATTATGGTTATCACAAGAGTCCACAATTAAGGTTGCATAGTGGAATATACTTGGGGCAGTGGAAGGGGTGCGGGGGGATTGTGTACCAGGGAGGGAGTCTTTTACTTTTGAAAGAGAGGAGCGAACTGCGGGGTGGGGGGAGAGGGCTGGGCAGGGAGAGAAGTGCAGCAATGAATGAATGGAAATCCAAATTCTCTGTAA